TGAACTATATCCAAGTACTAAGCACTAGTCTTCAATCCCCTCCACCGTATCCATGTAATAAGCAGGCACTCTTTCTTATGCAGCCTCACTATCACTGGAAGTCTGCAGCCCCATCATTTTGTGCCTACATTACCATAGCAGTCTCCACACTTGATTTTTTTCCTGTAACAAATTAAGCATATCACCTCTAAATTACATCTATATATCTTTTTATTCCCTTGCTCTGTTGCCCACACAGGAGTATAGTAGCATGATTACAGCCCACTGCAGCCTCTAGCTCCTGGGCTCAAGCAGTCCTCCCACCTCCAGCCTTCTGAATAGTTGGAGCCACAAGTGTACACCATGGTACCTGCCTAACTTTTTTTATTTTCTGTTGAAACGGGGTATCCTTGTGTTGCCTAGACTGGTCAAAGTCTTAGGCTCAAGCTATCCTCCCATCTTGGCCTCTCAAAGTACTAGGATTACAGGCATGAGCCACTATGCCCAGTCATGTTTCTTACTACTAAAAAATCTTAAGTGGAATAAAATACAAATAGACAAAAATCTACGCATTCTTTTTTTTTTAAAATAGCTTTATTGAGCTATAACTCACACACCATTCACTCATTAAAAGTAAACAATTCAATGTATTACAGTATATTAACAGATATATACAACCATCACAAAAATCAATTTTAGAACATTTTCATAACCTCAAAGAGAAACCCTAAGCAAGGCACAGTGGCAAGTGCCTACAGTCCCAGCTACTTAGGAGGCTAAGGTGGATCACTTGGGCCTAAGAGTTCAAATCTAGACTGGGCAACAGCAAGATACCATCTCTAAAAAAAGAAATTCCATAAACTATAGCTGCCAACCCATACCACCCTATCAGTTCCCATTCACTCAGGCTGCCCTAAGCAAGCACTAATCTACTTTCTTTCCCTTACAGATTTCCCTATTCTGAAATTTCACATGAATGGAATCACACGGTCTTTTGCAACTAGCTTCTTTTAAGAGAATAATGTTTTCAAAATTCATCTGTGTTTTAGCAGTATACTTCATTTTCTTTATGACTAAATAACATTCCATTATATGACTATTACACATTTTATTTATCCATTTACTACTGATGAGCACCCAGGTTGTTCCTACTTTTTAACTATTATGAATAGTGCTGCTATGAATATTTGTTACAAGTTTTTGTGCAACATGTTTTCCATTCTCTTGGAGCTATGCCTACAAATGTAATTGTTGGGTCATGTGGTAACATTTGAATAACTGCCACGCTATTCTCCAAAGCAGCTGCACCATTTTACATTCCTACCAGCAGTGTCTGAGGGTTCTGATTTGTCCATATCCTCACCACCACTTAATATTATCTGGCTTTATTTCAGCCTTCTTAGTTGGTGTAAAGCTGTATCTCGCTGTGGTTTTATTTTGCATTTCTATGATGACTAATGATGTGGAGCTTCTTTTCATGTGCTTGCTGGCCATTTATGTGACCTACCTGGAGAAATGTCTATTCAGATCCTTTACCCATTTTTAAATTAGGTGTTCTTTATATATTCCAGATACAATTTCCTTATCAGATATATAATTTGCAAATACTTTCTTTGTAAGTGTAACAGTCTTGTAGCTTCTTTGATGGTATCCTTCAAAGGCCAAATGAAAAATTTTTCATTTTGATGAAGTCCAATTTATTTACTTTTTCTTTAGTTGCTCATGCTTTCTATGTCATGTAAGAAAGTGGTGCCAGGCCAGGTGCAGTGGCTCACGACTGTAATCCCAACACTTTGGGAGGCTGAGGCAGGCGGATCACTTGAGGTCAGGAGTTCAAGACTAGCCTGGCAAACATGGAGAAACCTTGTCTCTACTAAAAATATAAAAAATTAGCTGGGTGTGGTGGTGGGCACCTGTAATCTCAGCTACTCGGGAGGCTGAGACAGGAGAATTGCATGAACCCAAGAGGCAGAAGCTGCAGTGAGCCGAGATTGCACCATTACACTACAGTCTGGTCAATAGAGTG